TCCCCCTGTCCCTGTCCCCGTGTCCCTCCTATCCCTGTGTCCCCCCATGTCCCCCCTGTCCCTGTCCCTGTCCCCAGTCAAGGGCTACACGCGGAAGGCGGCGGCACTCGAGGCCATGCGCGATTACACCAAGGCCATGGAGGTTTATCAGCGCGCCCTGGACCTCGACCCCTCCTGCAAGGTGACCCTGGCACCCCCGGGACCCCCCTGTGCCACCTGGGACCCCCCTGGCACCCCCGGGACCTCCCTGTGCCACCTGGGACCCCCCCGGGACCCCCCGGGACCCCCCTGAGCCCATGGCACCCCCCTGTGCCCCTCTGTGCTCTCCCTGTGCCCCCCAGGAGGCTGCAGAGGGGCTGTGGCACTCAGAGCCCCTTGATCCCTGTGACACCTGTGACAGCCTGTGATCCCCCATGCCTTGTGTCATGTGTGTCCCCTGTGTCCCCTGTGTCACCGTGTGTCCCCTGTGTCATTCTGTGTCCCCTGTGTCCCCTGTGTCACCCTGTGTCCCCTGTGTCCCTCTGTCCCCAGGAAGCAGCCGAGGGGCTGGGGCGCTGCGTGCGGGGGCAGCAGCAGCACTCGGAGCCTCTGATCCCTGTCACACCCCTGTGTCACTCTGTGTCCCCTGTGTCCCCTGTGTCCCTGTGTCCCCTGTGTCCCCAGGAAGCTGCCGAGGGGCTGCGGCGCTGCGTGCGGGGGCAGCAGCAGCGCTCGGAACCCTGATCCCTGTCACACCCCTGTGTCACTCTGTACCCGCCATGTGCCCTGTGTCACTGTGTCACCCTGTGTCCCCTGTGTCACCCTGTGTCCCCTGTGTCACTCTGTGCCCCCCATGTCCCCTGTGTCACTGTGTCACTGTGTCACCCTGTGTCACCCCATGTCCCCTGTGTCCCCAGGAAGCCGCCGAGGGGCTGCGGCGCTGCGTGCGGGGCCAGCAGCAGCGCTCGGAGCCCCCCGAGGAGCTGCGGCGCCGGGCGCTGGCCGACCCCGAGGTGCAGCAGATCATGGGGGACCCGGCCATGAGGCTCATCCTGGAGCAGATGCAGAAGGACCCGCAGGCCCTGAGCGAGTGCGTGCCACGGGGGGACACGGGGGTCCCCGAGGGTCCCCAGGGCAGGGGCCATGGCACGGGGGGGACACCGGGGGTCCCTGAGGGCAGCGGGGGTGGCACTGAGGATCCCCAGGGTCCCCGAGGGTCCCCAGGGCAGGGGGCCTGGCACGGGGGGGACACCGGGGGTCCCTGAGGGCAGCGGGGGTGGGACATTTTGGGGGCTTTTGGGGTCCCACTGCGTGAGAGCCCCTCCCTCAAAGACGGCGTGAGACCCCCATGGGTCGGATTGGGGGGGGGGGGGGCAAGGCCCCTCCCACAAAGTTTTGGGGGGTCCAAACCCCATCCCAAAAAGATTTGGGGACTCCACGCCCCCTCCCACAAACATTTTGGGGTGTCTGAGACCCCTCCCACAAATATTTGGGGACTCCAAGCCCCCTCCCACAAAGATTTTGGGGTGTCTGAGACCCCTCCCACAAATATTTGGGGACTCCAAGCCCCCTCCCACAATGATTTGGGGGTGTCTAAACCCCTCCCACAAAGATTTGGGGGCTCCAAGCCCCTCCCATGAAAATTTGGGGGCTCCGAGCCCCCTCCCACGAGGATTTTTGGGGGTCCTCCCCCCCCCCCCCCAAACACCAAGGTCACCAGGAGCGCGTTGAGCTTTATTTGGGGAGGGGGATTTTGGGGGGGGCGGTGACACTTTGGGGACGGGGCCGGCAGCCCGGGGGGGGGCTCAGGGGTCGTACCCCCCCTCCATGAGGCGCTGCAGCTCGCGGGGGTCGCGGGGGGGCCCCCCCAGGGCCAGGTACCCCCCCAGGAACTGGTGCAGGACGCGGGGGGGGGCCGAGAGCACGCGCAGCCCCAGCGTGACGTCACCACTGAGCCACAGCCGCACCTGGGGGGGGCGGGGGGTGAGACCCCTCCCCAAATCCCCGGAGGGGCTGAGACCCCGCCCCAAAATCCCACCGGGCTGAGACCCCTCCCCAAAATCCCCAATGGGCTGAGACCCCTCCCCAAAACCCCAGAGGGGTGAGACCCCGCCCCAAATCCCCAGAGGGTCTGAGACCCCAAAATTCTCAACGGGCTGAGACCCCGCCTCAAAATCTCAATGGAGTGAGACCCCTCCCCAAAACCCAGAGGGGCTGAGACCCCGCCCCAAATCCCTGAGGGCTAAAACCCCGCCCCGAAATCCTCAACGGGCTGAGACCCCTCCCCAAATCCCCACCAGGTTGAGACCCCAAAATCCTGATGGGCTGAGACCCCTCCCCAAAATCCCCAACGGGACTGCCCAGGGCCTCCCAGTCCATCCCAGTTAACCCCCAGTCCATTCCCAGTACCTCCCAGTCCATTCCCAGTACCTCCCAGTCTACCCAGTTCATTCCCAGTCCCTCCCAGTCCCTCCCAGTCCCCCCAGTACCTCCCCGCTGTCCCAGTCCCTCCCAGTTTGCCCAGTCCCCCCAGTCCCTCGCCGCTGTCCCAGTTCCCGTCCCAGTTTGCCCAGTTTGCCCAGTACCTCGCCGCTGTCCCATCTGACGGCCCAGTCCCTCCCAGTCCCTCCCAGTTTGCCCAGTTTGCCCAGTACCTCGCCGCTGTCCCAGCTGACGGCCCAGTCCCTCCCAGTCCCTCCCAGTTTGCCCAGTACCTCGCCGCTGTCCCATCTGACGGCCCAGTCCCTCCCAGTCCCTCCCAGTTTGCCCAGTTTGCCCAGTACCTCGCCGCTGTCCCAGCTGACGGCCCAGTCCCTCCCAGTCCCTCCCAGTTTGCCCAGTACCTCGCCGCTGTCCCATCTGACGGCCCAGTCCCTCCCAGTCCCTCCCAGTTTGCCCAGTCCTGGGGGGGGCGGGGGGTGAGACCCCGCCCCAAATCCCCAGGGGGGTGAGACCCCGCCCCAAAATCCCACCGGGGTGAGACCCCTCCCCAAATCCCCAGAGGGACGGAGACCCCGCCCCGAAATCCCGAGGGGTGAGACCCCTCCTCAAAATCCCAACGGGGTGAGACCCCCCAAAATGGGGGATGGAAACTCCCCAAAATCCCCAATGGGCTGAGACCCCTCCCCAAATCCCCAGGGGGGTGAGACCCTGCCCCAAATCCCCAGAGGGGCTGAGACCCCGCCCCAAAATACCACCGGGGTGAGACCCCAAAATCCTGATGGGCTGAGACCCCTCCCCAAAATCCCCAACGGGACTGCCCAGGGCCTCCCAGTCCATCCCAGTTAACCCCCAGTCCATTCCCAGTACCTCCCAGTCCATTCCCAGTACCTCCCAGTCTACCCAGTTCATTCCCAGTCCCTCCCAGTCCCTCCCAGTCCCCCCAGTACCTCCCCGCTGTCCCAGTCCCTCCCAGTTTGCCCAGTCCCCCCAGTCCCTCGCCGCTGTCCCAGTTCCCGTCCCAGTTTGCCCAGTTTGCCCAGTACCTCGCCGCTGTCCCATCTGACGGCCCAGTCCCTCCCAGTCCCTCCCAGTTTGCCCAGTTTGCCCAGTACCTCGCCGCTGTCCCAGCTGACGGCCCAGTTCCCGTCCCAGTTTGCCCAGTTT